CCCCACACATCCCTCCCCACACACATCCTCCCCCAACACACACACATACCACATCCCCACACACACACACATCCCAACACACACACATCCCCAACACACATCCTCCCCCACACACACATCCCCCAACACACACACATCCCCCAACACACACACATCCTCCCCCACACACACATCCCCAAACACACACACATCCCTCCCCACACACACATCCCTCAACACACACACATCCCTTCCCTCCACACACAAAACATTACAATGGAGAAGCTGCATCATTAAAGCACCATAGAGAGCTGCACCACAATGACACCACCTTCGCCTGGCAAACACCTTCAGTAGAGGAGTGGCGTCTTATGGACCAAGAAGGTGATTTACTTGTGCTAGCTTCTTGGGGTTTATTATGCTGAAGGTCAGGTGTGTGTGTGTGTGTGTGTGTGTGTGTGTGTGTGTGTGTGTGTGTGTGTGTGTGTGTGTGTGTGTGTGTGTCCTCCAAATCATCAACCCAAAAGACCTGCTTAGATACGTCAGCCAGAAATATACATTATCTATTAAAACACTACAACATTTAAGTCAGCCATAACACAATACATCTTGAAAAAATATATCACAACGCAAAACAAAATGAAACACAAAATATTTCAGACCCATTAATAAAAAAAATCTGGTTCTGGTTGTAGCTTTTATCTAATTTCCATAACAAAAAAAAAAGGTGTCAAAACAAGAGACTTTTTTTTTTGTAAATATAACGTGAAATTTATCTCAACGAGGTGGTTTACGGTATAACATTCTGCTGGCTATAGATAGGTTAGGTTAGGTCGTTTTTAGGTTAGGATTGGTTGGATTAATGGTTAACGTTACGATAGCTTAGGTTAGGTTGTGTCTGCATGCTGCTGCTGCTGTTGTTAATAAAAAGTTTAACTCAAATCACTGTTTCTCTTTTGTTTCTCGAAATTAAGTTATGAAGTAAATCACACGCGTTTCGGGGCATCCAGCTCCAGAATACACACTGGCAATGTTTGGTGTGCGCCTAAACGTGTTGGGAATGTTGTGTAAATACATAAGAGCCACGTCACATGCTTTTAGATGCTGAACGGTGTAAGTATGTAAATAACTTCAGATCATATTTTTTGAAGCTTTGAGATGTTGAATATACAGCGTTAAGAATATACAGCGTTAAGAATATACAGAGTTAAGAATATACAGTGTTAAGAATATACAGAGTTAAGAATATACAGTGTTAAGAATATACAGCGTTAAGAATATACAGAGTTAAGAATATACAGCATTAAGAATATACAGAGTTAAGAATATACAGAGTTAAGAATATACAGAGTTAAGAATATACAGCGTTAAGAATATACAGCGTTAAGAATATACAGAGTTAAGAATATACAGCATTAAGAATATACAGAGTTAAGAATATACAGAGTTAAGAATATACAGAGTTAAGAATATACAGCGTTAAGAATATACAGAGTTAAGAATATACAGAGTTAAGAATATACAGAGTTAAGAATATACAGAGTTAAGAATATGCAGAGTTAAGAATATACAGCGTTAAGAATATACAGCGCTAAGAATATACAGAGTTAATGCAAAAACAATAATTTACTCACACGTTCCGAAGCATCTGAGCATTGAATACTATACAGTGTAAATATATGAAGGATGTGTATCATACCATTAGAATGACTGATTAATTGACTGACTGAATGACTGACTGAATGACTGATTGACTGACTGACTGATTGATTGTGCTAATTACATCCCTGGTGACGCAACAGCTTATTGGTCATATGTCGCCGAATTAAAATTAAGGCTTGAAAGACACCATTAAAAGCATTAAAGTGTTGGTTACATGAAGACCAAAATATTTACGTTGCGAAACAAGTATATGAATCAACTGTCTCAAAGCACATGCATGAAAAAAATAAATAGACAATATATAAGTACAGTGAGAATGATGATTTTCGACGAATGTTATATTTTAAAACCAAACAAATATGTAGAGAAGAAGGTAAATTACTCGTTCAGAAACATTCAACAAATTTATTATGTGTACGGTGTGAATCACTTGTTTTGAAGAATTTGAACGTTGAGTATATAAAACAGACTCATTTATGATGCTATTCACAGATATTTAATGCCATCTGAATCTAGATTTCATATATACACATGAATTGTTTATAGTGATTCATTTATTTCGAAACTCTAATATACTGAAAACACAGAAGAAAAAATATACCCGTATGTATATAGTATATGTACAGTATAGTTCAAAACCACATATTTTAAACCATTTATATTTCAAAACCCAAATAACTTTACCTGTACTGCCTACTATGATATTTTAAAGTAACTCTATTTCTAAAATCATAAACTAAAAATACCAAACTAACACAGAGAAACTTTCAATTCCAGTAATATAGTTTATCTTCAATGGCTCCAGTGGTGAGTCAACTGTGGTGGACGAGACTAAACGACTGCCGGTGCTGGATAACTTATACCTCATTACACAGGCATGAGTGGGTGCTTATAGTACAGTACACCGCCTTACATCAGATACGTTTGTGAGAGTCTAACATACAGCTGGTAGACGACTGAATTGAGTTGTTAATCTGATGGTTGAGTTATTAATCTGATGGTTGAGTTGTTAATCTGATGGTTGAGTTGTTAATCTGATGGTTGAGTTGTTAATCTGATGGTTGAGTTGTTAAGCTGATGGTTGTACTGTACCCCCCTTCTCCTCCCCTATGCTAACTCTTACTTCTCCCCCTCCTCTACTCCTCCCCCATTCTACCTCCACCCGGCTTCCTCGCTTCTCTGGCCAATATCTTACTTGCTGTTAACTCGGAAACGAACTATAGACACAGCAAAGACCAAAAGATTTAACAATATATAACAAGAAATATTCCCTCATTTTTTATTTAAGGGAAGGGCGGTGTATAATATTAGCAGCATTAATTAGTTTATTCTAAGGTAAGATGAGGTTACCTGAAGCAAATCTAATTTACTCTAGAATGGCCAAATGATACGATAATTTAGTTCAATATATTCTAAGATCATATTATCCCTATTAAATCCCATTACCGTGAGTAAAACTATGCAATAAAATGAATATATATGAAGAGTAAATGTATTATAGTAAGATTTCCTTCATATCACAATACACATTTTGACTCATAAGATTCTCTCATTTCTTTCTCAATAAATTATAACGTTCCTCAAGACACCAAACTGTTTTTTCTTTTCTTTTTTAATTTTTTTCATAATGTATCAGACACTTGAAGATGACGTGATGAAGAAAACCACTGCAAGAATTATCACCTATAAGACATCTTGATGAAACTTTATAAGACTGACCGAAACTCACTGAGACTTTCTTAAATTGTGTGAAAATTAATAGACACTGTGTAGAAACGTTTCATCACTGTGTTGTTAGGTTAGGGTAGATTACGTTAGGTTACGTTAGGATTGGTTAGACTAGATCAGGGTTACGTTACGATTGGTTAGAATACATCAAGATTAGGTTAGGATTGGTTAGACTAGATCAGGGTTACGTTACGATTGGTTAGATTAGATTACGTTAGGTTACGTTAAGATTGGTTAGACTAGATCAGGGTTACGTTACGATTGGTTAGACTACATCAAGATTAGGTTAGGATTGGTTAGACTTACATCAGGGTTACGTTACGATTGGTTAGAATACATCAAGATTAGGTTAGGATTGGTTAGACTATATCAGGGTTACGTTACGATTGGTTAGAATACATCAAGATTAGGTTAGGATTGGTTAGACTATATCAGGGTTACGTTACGCAAGGTTAAACTACATCAGGGTCATGCACCTTTGTAGACACTGATAATTCTTGATCGATAACTTTGCACGAGTGATCGAGAGAAAGACCTAGATTCTATGAGTGGGAAGAAACTTGAGTGGGAGTGAGAGGGAACAGGGCGTAGGAGTGGGATGGAACAGTGCGTGGGAGTGGGAGGGATACAGTGCGTGGGAGTGGGAGGAATGAACACTTGTGGGAGTGGGGGAGGAAGGAACAGTGCAAGGGAGTGGGAGGGAACGCTGAGTGGGAGTGGTGGAGGAAGGAACAGTGCAAGGGAGTGGGAGGGAACACTATGACGGAGTGGGAAGGAACAGTACGTGGGAGTGAGTGGGAGTATTACTTCTACTCGTAGGTCGTCACTAAATGAGAGGTACTTGACATAGGAGAGTAACTAGGCACTTTTCATCGCCTCACACACATGGGAGTTGAAGGGAGAGACACCCACTGTGCATGGGAGTCTTCAGAAGCTAAGACAACTCAAGTCCCTCCTCCCCTCCCTTTTTGCATGGGAGTAAAGCAACACTAACGAGAGTATAACCATTAAAAATACTATGATTATGGGAACTTTACATGGGAGACGAACCCAAATCCATTACAGCGTGGGAGCCCAACAGGAGAAAAAAATCCTCTGCTGTTAATGGGTAAAATCAAGACCCCCTACGTAACACCACTGGGGAAGTACTTTAACGTGGGAGAATAGGCACTAAAACCCCATCCCGTGCTAGTGGGAGGAAAGGCAAAGGGATATAATATTAATAGGGGGAATATTTACATGGGAGAACTAACCAAAATATGCCTCTATCCATCACTGGGAGACTTAATAAATATTTACATGGGAGAACTAACCAAAATATGCCTCTATCCATCACTGGGAGACTTAAGAAATATTTACATGGGAGAACTAACCAAAATATGCCCCTATCCACCACTGGGAGACTTAGGAAATATTTACATGGGAGAACTAACCAAAATATGCCCCTATCCATCACTGGGAGACTTAAGAAATATTTACATGGGAGAACTAACCAAAATATGCCCCTATCCATCACTGGGAGACTTAAGAAATATTTACATGGGAGAACTAACCAAAATATGCCTCTATCCATCACTGGGAGAAAGGTAAGATGAGGTACACGGGAATGAGAGAAAGAAAATATGACTTACCCCAGTTTGGAGATGGAGGGGAGGTTAAGATCCGTGGTGGTGTATGTGTGTCTGGGAGCGAGCAAGTGGTAGGTGCTCGCTGGAGTGATGGTAGCAAGGGAGTGCGACTCTCTTCGACACTTGTTGCCCTATATGAACCATCCCCACCTCCTACTGTGTCCCTGGTCCCGCCTACCCACCCCACGGCCACGCCCCCTCCTGCCCCTCTCAGCCAATCCCCGCCACGGCTCACCAACACCTCTGGCAGCTTGTCGACCACGCCCCCTCCTCCCCTCCCACGTGGCCCGAGCATCTTATCAACTATGATTGTCAGGAAGGATAAAATACCATTGTTTGTCACCCTGTTATGTGATCTGCCTACCCTCTCAGCTTACCCTCTCTCGACTCAACACAAAATTCTTATCAATTGTATCCATAGAGGGGGCTGATACAATACTATTTTATATGTGTTTCTTGTAAAAATCTATCATAAACATCTAGATAATCATCACCTATATAGAATTATACACCATATAATTATCGCTATCTGTATAATTAATTGTGGTAATTACGTCCCTGGCGATGCAACAGTTTAGGTCATATATCGCTGAATTAAAATGAAAGCTTAAATTACTAAAATAAAATAATGCAAGATAAAAAACATAATTCATAACATAGAACTTCCGGTAAAAAAAATTTAAACGTTAAGAGATAAAACACAAAGCTTGTGTAGAATAATGTGTAAGTAATCATCACCATATTGTCAAGAATTATCAAGGTGGTCATACATTTAAATTCCTCTTTCAAATACTCACAAATGTTACACACTAATTCAGTTACTCAAAGGTAACATCTCACTGAAAGGTACTCATAAATGTAACACCCAATAACAAGTATTCACAAAGGTAACACCCAATAACAAGTACTCACAAAGGTAACATACTAACTCAACATACTCACAAAGGTAACATACTAACTCAACATACTCACAAAGGTAACATACTAACTCAACATACTCACAAAGGTAACATACTAACTCAACATACTCACAAAGGTAACATACTAAATCAACATACTCACAAAGGTAACATACTAAATCAACATACTCACAAAGGTAACATACTAACTCAGATACTCACAGAGGTAAACATACAAACCATCAAACTCACAAAAATAATAGTTCCTCACAAATACAATTATCTACCAGGTACAAATACTCACACACTCACTCACATAAATAACAAAATAACAATGAACATTATATTGAGAACTCCATCACAAAACACTAAAATAAACTGAAAATAACTCAATCCCAGTTTTCCCAGATACGTCAAATAATGAGACAATATCAATTTACAACTTATATGAGATTATTACGTTAAAAATCTCTGTAAAACTGATATTTAAAACGTATGGTCACTCAAAAAAACTATCTATACCAAATTGTGTTGAGAAAATATGACACAACGGATGAAGGATTTTGACAACCCTACCGAGACAACAGGAGTCATAGTGTTCATTATGGAGTACATCGATCACCCCGAGTACAGATAAATTATTGAGTGTCTGTACGATGCAATAAAGTTTGTATCTTATTATTTGCGTCGTAATGATAAGCTAATGTGTCAAAAAATAAACACAGGTATAAAAAGTTACAGATATTTAGAAAGTGAAGGAAGAATATTGTATTAAGAAAGTTACTGCTATATACAGGTATTTTGAAAATTAGAAAGTTAAGGAAGAATATAAAGAATGTTTGGAATGTGTTTAAAGATACTGTGATAATAACGACATTAGAAAATGATTAGAACGATTGATTATTCTGTTAGCATTTCGATAGTGGCGGAGGAACAAGAAAGTGCTAAGATATGGCAGAAAGTAACAAGAAAGTGCTGAGACAAGGCAGAAAGTAATAAGAAAGTGTTAAGAAAAGTGTACAAAATGACAGGAAAGTGCTATGATAGAGCAGAAAGTGACAAGAAAGTGCTAAGTTAGAACAGAAAGTGACAAGAAAGTGCTAATAAAAGTGTACAAAGTGGCAGTAAAGTGCCAAAACTGATGAAGAAAGTGGCAGGAAAGTACCAAGCTAACAAGTACAATTACTCACATATAGCTACCAACATTATCACCTTTCATACACAGTAAATCCATATAAAATGAATTCTTCGTCTTCACAATGATTCAAACCGTTTCGAATTATTTCAACGTGTTTAGTGATTCGTCAAAGTGATTCATTTAACAACAGGTCTAAAGTAGGAAACGACTCCAATGTCTAGTTGATATGATGTAACTGCCTTTCCTACATCCACACACACACACACACACACACACACTCTCTCTCTCTCTCTCAACCACACACACAAACACACCCCTCTCACACACACTCTCTCCACCACACGCACACACACCCTCCCCCCCACACACACCCTCTCTCCCACACCCATAATAAATTCACCCTTAATTTCCTCATATATCTCAGAGTCTAAAGTCTAATCCACAAAAAATAAAACAAATCAACTTAACGGAATCTTTACAAAACATCACTTAAAAGCGTTTGATGTTCCTCCGACAATCTATTTCACTGTTATATATCGAATTACTTTTTTATAACGTAATTCCTTTTATATTCTGAATGTAGGAGAAATGACTAGAGTGTGATGTTGTAGGTATGTGTAGTGTGGTGTAGAATGTGGAGTTATGTGGTAGATATGTGGAGTGATTTTGTAGATATGTGTAGTGTGATGTAACCCACTAAAAAATTATTCTGCGCCCGTGTCATAGTGTATCAGGCCGTAAGGGTGCCAAGTAATGTGTTATTGGGTGTATATTGTTTGTATAGCTGTAGTGTGTACATTGTATACCTACAGTGTCTATGTACACCCACTAAAGAATTATTCGCCACCCTTATGGCCTGATATAATATGACACAGGTTGGGCTACGTTAGGTCAGGACAGATCAGGTTAGGCCAGGTCAGGTCACGTTAGGCCAGGTCAGGTCATGTTAGGCCAGGTCAGGTCAGGTTAGGCCAGGTCACGTTAGGCCAGGTCAGGTTAGGTCAGGTCAGGTTAGGCCAGGTCAGGTCACGTTAGGCCAGGTCAGGTCACGTTAGGTCAGGTCAGGTCACGTTCAGCTCGGATACGTGCAATTCAATAAAACATATTGTCAGTTGATTCCCTTTTCTTAGCCTATTAAGTTAGACCACTGTCCCAACACTTGACCCTGACCTAATATCACCTTTACGGAGACCAGGGTTGTAATTAATAGCTATCCGGTACAATAAATAACAGTAAAAATATATATATCTAATTTTAGAATATAATTATGTTTGGCTCAGATCCATCGGTCAGGTGGGTTTGTGTGTTGTCATAATGTATTACTGTGTCGAGACAAATAAGGTCATTAAGCGTGTATTCTAGGCTTGTAATTACACTAGTTATCAACAATTAGTAACTGAGCTATAGACATTAATGGTATTTATTGGAAGTGCGGTGTTTACGACGTGTGGACAGACGGACGGAGAGAAGGGTAGACAGAAGGCAGTATGACAGACAGACGGATGGAGGGACAAACAGACTGATGTATTGACAGACATAAGGCGGTATGACAGACGGACGGACGGAAGGCCCGACGGACTGACGGAAGGCTAAACAGACGGACAGAAGGGCAGAAAAAAGAGGGTTTGACAGACGGACGGAAGGAGGGACAAACTGACTGACAGGACAGACAGACAGAAGGCGAGAAAGACAGAAAACGGACGAACGGAAACACACACAAACAGAAAGACGAAGAAATTTGAACTGTGTTACTTAATGTTACCTGACGGGCACCACACAGACACACACACACATCCTTGACCACCGTAGGGTCAAGACCTATTCAGCCGCTGCTCCTGCTGAGCAGCGGCCCTCCTTGGCCATGTCGGCCCATTCCTGAATTCCCTCTCCCCGACCCATCCTCACCACCGGGATATCTACATACTCAAGTGACAATTTTGTTTCGGAAAGAAGTGGGATCAGTGTTGAACAGTGATGAACAGTGTTTAAGCCAGTGAATTCAGCACCAGACAGTACCAGTGAGAGCCGTGACCCACCAGTGAGATAAGCACCCCTGGGAACTGACCACCATCGTCTGACCAGGAGGTGGTAATCCGTCCACCCTGGGAACAACAGAGGGCCGGCCGGCTATGCACCTGACTACGAGGTAACACAACATCACCGAGCAGAATGAGGTACTGTGACACCACCCACACCACCTGGTGTCCCCATGACTACGTGAGGTCCTTCATATCAACACCCGAGGACGAGTTACTACACCACGTGAACACCACACTACCTGGTGTCTCAACGACCAGCCCAGGCCCGGGCCATCGCCTATAAGCTATTATAATTTGTATGTTCAATTCATGCCCCTTCTTCTTTCAGTCATGAAAGGTTTTGTTAAACGACCCACCCACCTCATGTCTTCGTATGTAATAAGTCATTTTTTGCGATGTATGTTTTCAGCCTTCGGGCTGCAGAACTTTTTCAATAAACCGTTAATTATTATTATTATTATTACATATTCTAAATCTAACCATTAATTTTACCAACAAAACATCTACATAATGATAACGATATCGTTCTTCTCTGGTATGACGCTTGTGTTTAATACCCAACCATTTATTACCAGTAGAGGAAATATATTACACACACACACACGACCTCCACCAAGCTGGGATCGAACCAGAGCACATAACAAGGTAGACGGAATCATTACCACCTAACCACAAAATAAGCTGTATATCTCGACAATGAATTAACTAAACTATTTTTTCATTACCCATCGTGTCTAAACAGGATAATAATAATAATAATAATAATAATAATAATAATAATAATAATAATAATAATAATAATAATAATAATAATAATAATGACAATAATAATAATAATAATAATAATAACAATAATAATAATAATAATAATAATAATAATAATAATAATAATAATAATAAATTACTCTGTTATATTAAACAGTGATGCGTGGGAAGTGACGACTGTGGCAACGTTAGTATATTTAGTTCATATACATTAATCAGTTAGTATAGTGCCAGTACTGGTGATCGAATGTGCCTGGCGAACGTAAGCTGTGTGATGGT